TGGATGGATGGATGGATGGATGGATGGATGGATGGATGGATGGATGGATGGATGAAACTATATACCCAATCCACATCTCTAGTAAAATGGAGTTTGACTCAACCTAAAATATATAAATTACAATAAAAATGTAGTTCACATTTAGAAAGCAGACAAAAGTTAGAAGAAGCTTCGCGGAGCAAGCAGGTTACAGTGTTGGCTAAAGTATGGTAGAAACCGACTACAAGAGTCAACAGGAAGTAGGCTTGTCTTGGCAGGAAGAGACTCACCACCGTAGGGGTCAGTGGCATTGTAAGATGTGTCATTATATGGCTCCACTGAAAATAACATGCAGATACAGTGACTATCAGTACAAACACAATCACACACTTTGATAAGAGTAGAGCAGAACACTGAAAATGCTGAAAAAGAAAGTGTACAATAAAACAATAAATGAGATGTTGGATTTCATATCAACATTACTATCTCTAGAAGCAGGTATACAGTACTCTCTGTGGTCACCAGACTAGGCTTTGTACACCAGTTTAAAGTGACAGAAAGAATATGTTAGGCTCCTTCACACTGGATGACAACTCTGCTGTGCTCTTCCTGGCTTACTCATTCTATTGAACATGACTGAATCGCACCAAATTTGAAAAAAAAAAAAAAAACTTTTGGGTGAAGGCAATCATGATTATGCTACATTCCTTTCTTGGATTGACAATGACTGAGAATCTTCACCAGCATGTCCTCTGTGTACTCAGCAAAAAGCTCTCTCTGGCTGTTTTCTTGTTCTTTTGTCATGATTACACTTGTAGCTTTGACATTGGGCCAGTGTGGTAATATAAATCATTGTTGACCAAAGTCACACTAGTAAGTGCAGACTCAGCATCATGGATTCATTGCCACTACTCTATCCCAGGCCTCGTATTTCTCTGAATAATATTTCATAATATTTTACAATATTTCATAATTATACACCACCATAACTTCACTACAGAAACTGTGTGTGCTCAAAACAATTGTGGATCAACCAGAATCTATTACACATAACAGAGCAATTTCTATAACCCTACCAAGACYCTGCAAAAACCATCCAAGTTCTGGATGATTATTTATCTTTTATTGGRCTTTAGTCCAAATTATTTGAAGTAATTCAAAGCTTTGGATCTTGAGGACAGGTACTTACTGGTCTGAATTTTGAGTGTAAAGGGGTTCTTTTGTTGGATGGTGTGGATGAAGAGAAATCGAGCATTGCAGCTGTAGTCTCTCTGAGCATCTTGGACCAAAACATTAGAAAAATACAGGTCTCCATTCAGGCCCATGGATAGTCTCTTATCCTGAGAAATAGGAGTCATATCTGACAAACAGAAGAAGAAAAGCCATTAAGACTGAATATTGCATCATGCTACAAATTAAACCATAACACAACAAGGTAATTGTAGTTTTAGTTTTTGGTTTTAAGCCCTGATGAACTGAATACAAGGGCAGCYGACCTGATACTGAAGATCACAACCAAGTAAGACATGGATGACTAGATCCCTTACCAAGGCTTAGTGATAAAGTACCTTCTGAAAGTCTTCTAGAAGATGTGCATGCATCATGGCTAAGTATCCTTTGTGGCACCACCACGGGAACAATAAGTTGTTATAAATGAGAGCTAGATCAAGGTTGCAACTCAATAAGAGAATTGTCTCCCATGGAGGAGGAGACTAGAAGCCAAGTTTAAGTCAACACAGAAAGAAAACCAGCTAGCTGTCAGAACAACAGAAAAGTGAAATGAAGAAACATCTACCAAAGAAACATTGCATCTTTTTTAACCTGAGGTTCTGGAGGTTGCAAAYAACAGCTTAATACTCTGTCTACCTACTTGAATAAATTCTTTCAAAAACTAGAGGCAAGGAGAATAAAAGTAATCTGCACCAAACCATTCAAAGTGTACTCTAAATAGCAGGGAAATAACATGAGCTCAGAGTGAGCCACACTGCAGAAACATAAACAAGAAAAAGAGCCAGGGCTACGGAGTCTACGAACTGACCATAACAGTCTCCCAGAACAAGAACACTATTCATCAAAGCGGGAKCAATCTAGCCAGGGCCTTTAACAAGGTCTGCATCAGATGATGYGGAACCAGGCTATTCTGTTGAGAACACTGCTAGAATAAGACTTACAGTACATAAACAGTAAATGATATACAGGTATGGTCTTTCTCTGCTTACAAAAGGCGTTTGACATAATGAATCACATTATACTCATATGTAAATTGGAAGTCTAAATGGGATGGACACATTCTCTCCAGCAAATCAAGTGTTAAAACAGCTCATTTCATATTATTKTAGTGGCAGATTCAATGATGCAAACCACCAGGGAATAAAAGTCAATTATTTTTACAAACRGTCAGATAAAATATTAGGTCCATGCTGTGCTCACTGCTGTCCATCCAGAAGGTGGAGGGTGGCGGCAGGCCTGGTGGTGGGTTGCAGGGTAGGACCAGTGGGGAGCCCTCAGTCACTATCACCGGCTGCAGCACCTCCTTAGGCCACAGGGGGGCTTCTGTCAGTGAGATGGAGGTTAACAAATATTAGGTTATTTTAAATCTAATTATAAAATTGTCTTTATAAAGGTATTTAAAAGATCAGTTATCATGATCACTGTTGGTAAGTTATCAAAACACCGGTGAGAATCATACCAGTTTTTTCTGTATAATAATATCTTAATTCTCCACAAGCAGTTGAAAACTGTGTTCTTACTGGAAACACGGAGCAGGATTTTGTTGGACAGAGCTCTTCCTAAGGAATTGCTGGCAATACACTGGTACTCTCCTTCGTAATCCTCCGGTCGTCCTCCACTGCGGAAACTGATCTCCAAGGTTCCCGATCGTTTCCTCATGTTCACCCTGGGATCTTTAACAATGTTGAGAAACTTTCCATTTCTTCGCCATTCAAACCTGAAGAAGGTGATCAAACCTTTAGAGACTGAGCAGAAAAACAAACAAAAAATTCTGCACACATGAACTGCACTGTTTATGGATTCAGATTAATTATCTGAGTTATCTTGAACTGAMTGAATCTTTATTCAGAATAAAGTAGTTTAATAATTTCAAATTAATTTTAAAAATCCAATTATTAATAAAAAATTTTAATGTTAGGCCTGTTTTTCCTTATTCTAATGACGCACTATGTCAGTGAAAGCATCAAGTCATAATAAGAACCTTGTTGAGGTTTTAACTTAGAACCTTGTAGCTTTAAAGCAGTGACAGAACCATCCACTGAACCACTATATATTCTGCTATTGCGTCCTGTTCCACATTCTGTTTGATTGATTTGATTTATTGATTCAACAGGAAAAGATTACTAAAAATCAAGCCTGACTCAGCATAATTGCTGTTTTACAGCAGGTTCCTGTTCTGCAGC